CTAGCCACACCCAGGCCTGATTACTGCCACACCTGTTCTCAATCAAGTCATAGTGAAATGACACAAATTATGTCAAACGCTTCTCAACAATTTATTTGGACTGCCTTAGCTACAAAATAATTATAGTTTACTTTAATTTGTGTCCAAATATACTCTTGGAAAATGAGGAACAGGTTTGTTTAAAATGCCTCTCGGCAAGGAGAAAAGGCTGGGACAACGGTAGTTAATAACTGAACACGGTGGTATCAGAGTACTTTATAAACTTTAGTGACCGCTGTTTCTCCCTGGTCAGCCCTCTGTCATTGAGAAAACATATATCGCCGACGCCCAAAGTGACTCACAGTCTTGCTGTATGCGTGTGCTTTGTTTGCTGAGAAACATGCAGCTTTCAAGTCATTCTTTTTTTTATATTTTCATAATAACAGTCTGTACTTTTTTTTTTTTTTTTTTCTCTCTTGTCTTCCTCTAGTCCACCTGGCTCACCTAACACCGTAGGTTTCTTCCCCTCCCCCGCCTCCCTCTCCTCCCCAGGGGGGTTGATGCGTATGCCAGGTCTGACCTACAACAGCAACGGAGTTAAAGACCTCATCAATGCAATGCAGGGATACCAGGTAAGAGACAAGTCTCCACAAATTAACCTTAATGCTTAGTCATCTTTATTAATACAGTTAATAATGCATACAAATCCTGTGTGCCTTCTGAGTTCAGGATCCAAGTGTATTCAAATTTCCTTCTGTTGTGGGTGTGTATTGTCAGGCATCCATTGTGTTTGCCCAGAGGCCATCAAACTAGTTTATCCTGTCTACCCTCCCTGTTCTGTCACACGTGCTCTGCTGCTTGCTTAGACTTGAATTGGAGGAACTCAGGCCTTATTAAACTTGGAGTAGAGTGAAGAATCTCAGGGATATGATCAACAATAGTTTATACTAAATTAAGAGTTACACTTGGAGTGAGAATGTGCAGTATTTTTCTTCCAGTAACAAACTCCTCTTTCACCCCCATGCTGGAGTTTACAGGTCCATGTGACCTTTAGGTTAGTATGGTTGCTTGTCACTCAGCTCCCTGTCTCTGTTATTCCTCCCCCTTCATCACACCACAGTACGCCCCAGAGGATGCTCTCATGCACGCCCACGGGCCTCTGCTCGCTCACGACCCGACCGGGACATTGCTTACGCAGCCCAAAGAATGGGTGTGTATTTAAGATGTCTGAGGCAGGTAAGGATTGGCTGAGGGCTCAGTGAGGGGGGTTGAGTTTAGTCGGTGGTTGTAGCTGCGGCTTGGGTCTTGACTGGTCATCAGGGGTTACAGGGCTCCACACAAGAGGGACATTTCCGATGTAGACAGGGAATTTTCCACAAACCACACACGTCAGCAACAATGGACACAATTTTGGATTGGGTTGAGTGGTTAGAGGAAACTTCTTGGATCTTAATCAACCCTTGGGTTTTGTATTTAATTGTCTGCTTTATCTAATACTGGCTACTACATTTCTGTCCTCTCAAGAAGTTATTTATGGGCTACAGGAATATCCAAGAGGGCTAATTGACCTTTCCCTAAGCCCCACCTCGGAACAGTGATTGTCCAATCAACCGTAACAAGGAACAGCAGGCCTGTCAAGCTTTGGATTTCTCCACATGCCGTAATGGTGTGAATAGGTCTCTAATAAAAGTTGCACTTTGTATCGCACAAGTTCGGATGGTAGTGTATTTTTTTTTTTTTGTGTAGCCTACAGTTCTTTTCCCAGTCTCTGCTAGTGTTGAGAGTAAACGGTTACCATGGCCGAACAAACAAAGACAAGAGTGATGACTGCAGACGATGAAACGTTCAAAAAATAAATAAATAAATAAACATCTGCAACGTCATAAGTGCTGCCAAAGAGCACAAAACGAAGAGATTGTAACTTTTAAGTGGTAAAGTTGCCGCAGTTATCAACGTAAAGCTTGACAGGCGTAGCAACAGCAACTAAGGGGGCGGTGCTTGGCGAGCGGTCAATTGGTGGTGTAGTGAAATAATAGGTAACAACAGGTGCAGCCTTCAGGTGGCTGAGAAGGTGATGGGTAATATTTGGTGCTAGTGTAAGGGTCCTGTGTTTGACGCTGTTACACTGGAATAATACTCCTCTCTCTCTCTCTCATTCCAAACGTTTCTCTCTCATTCCAAACGTTTCTCTTTCTCTTTCTCATATATTCCAAACTTTTCTCCCTCTCCCCCGCCAGAGTCCTGCGGAGTCTATGTCTCTCCTGAGCAGCAGTCTGATTGGTCAGTCCAGCGGAGGTGATGCTGCTCTCATGTCCCTCCCCGCTCTTATGACCAAGCCGTCGGGGCCGTACCTGGACCTGACCCTGCTGTAGGGTCACAAATTTACAAAGGTCATGTGACAATTTGATAAATGTCAAAGATTTGTAATGTATTGTTTAGGTTTTTAAATAGTCTTTTAGATGTGTTATTTATATCTTTAAGAACAGAAATTAATGTATTTTATACTAAAATCATTGTGGCCTTAGCCAAAATAGCAGTTGTTTGTCTTATATTGCACATTGCGTATTTTAAAAGCTTTATAGAGATTTTTTTTGAACATGTTATATTATAATCGCTATGATATATTTGCTAGCCAAACTAGAGAAGAATGACTGTGGAAGTGTGTGTGTGTTTTAGTGTGAAAGAGATGAAAATGAGTATTATGCATGGCTGTGTTGATACGTCTTAATACTCCACCTGTTTATGCAATACATTTTATATGTTTATACATGTTTGATACAGTACACTGTTATTGTATTGGAAGCTTTAGTGCATGAAGAAGTTAGTAGTACAACTTTAAGATGTTTACATAATGCCAAATATCAATGCACTGCTAATCAATAAGACTACTAATGAATATAATAGCAGTATCTTTGAATGATAACATTTATGTTACACTGTGAGCTTGTCAGATAGTCTAATCCTTGGACCAGGCTTCACTTACAAAAATGTGACATCTCGCACTCATTAGCCCCCTCCTTTCCTTCTTATGTACCCTGTATGGGTCTGTTTCCATGTTGTGTAATACCAATGTTGTCTTGCCCTTTGTTTTGGACTCACATTTGACCAGAGCACAGTCCCAGTTCTCTGTAACCTAACCACAGGGTTACATTCTTCAAGAGGACTCGTGTCACAAGCTTTCATCTTACTGAGTGAATCTCTGAAGATGCCTCAGTCCATCACACTTCCCTTGTCTTCTTTCCACCATCTACGCTGATGTCTGGGGATGTAATGGAGCAAACTGGTTTCCCTGCAGAAAACCCTTCCCACTTTCTCTTGGTAACGAAATCATTTGGAGAGTAGATGGAAAGTTGAAAAAGAAAGGAAATGAAGGACACCCTCTGACATGTATCTTGTGAATTAAATTGCCATTTGTGCCCTGCAAAATTGCTGTTCGGGCTCCATGTTGCTGTACACACTTCCTACAGTGGGAATTTAAAGTCGTGCTCGTCCTGAGCAATGCTGAAACAACAATAAACACCACATGTGAAGTCTGCCCACCTTCAGGTGTTTCATTTCACCCTTCACCTCGCTGTGTACTTATTGTGCTGGCTTTACTTTGGGAGGGTTTGCGAAGGAGCACAAACACACAGGTGGAGTTGTCTAATGACAGAATGTAGCTCAAGGCAAAACTGTGGGAACGCCCTCTCACTGTCCTGTGACTACATCTGTGTTTCCCACACACATACAGGATGGTGAAGACTACTGTCACTCAGACACACACATTATCCATGAGGATGGTCTTTTTTTCTTTCTTTTTTTTAACAGGGTGGAAAAGTGAAGAACAGGAAGGGGGAAGAGAGAAGGAAGGCATACAAAACCAAGCCAGACCCCCTCGGGCCATATTTGGCATTGTGTAATACAATCTTGTTGCACCCCACCCAACTTGATCCCTTTTAAACACACTCACTCATTCTCCCACTGACAAAAACGCTGCCTTAACCAGCATAGCAACACCATTAGTATCTGTGCAACAAAGCCCAAAATACTTTCTTGTCTGTTTAACTTTTATAAGGATGTTTATTGTCATTGTAAAAAACATCAGTCAATACAGCAGCAGTTGAGAAGTGTATAAAAACATTTAAGACAAGACTATTTAAAACAAGACATTAAATAAATATATACAAGATAAGGCACAGGCATCAATGGCTTCAAAGTAAAAAATGTGCTTAGTTAATGAATTGTATCACCGCAGCACTGTCCGGTGTGAGCTGGGTGGGGTGGTGGGTGGCGGTGGGGGTAGAGGGGTGATGGAGGAAACCGCTCTGGGGAAGAAGCTGTTCCTCAGCCTGTTAGTCCGGATTTTGATGGTCCTGTATCTCCTTCCTGAGGGTAATGGAATAAACAGAGTGACCCGGGTGTGTGATGTCTGTGCAGATGTTTCTGGCCTTCTTCTGGAGACGGCCAGCATACACAGTGTCCAGGTCAGGCAGGGTAACTCCCACAATCCTCTGTGCTGTCCTAACCACACGGGCCAGGTCCCTCCTGTTCTCTGCTGTGCAGCTGGCATACCACACAGTAAAGCACTGACACAGGATGCTTTCGATCACACTTCTGTAAAAGTTAACCAGAAGTCCAGGGGGCAGGCCAGCTTGTTTTAGCTTCCTCAGAAAGAAGAACCTCTGCTGGGCTTTCTTCACCAGGTGTGATGTGTTCAGGGACCAAGTGAGGTCTTTAGTAATGTGGAGCCCCAGGAATTTGATACTGTCCACCCTCTCCACCTCCTCCCCACTTATGTACAGTGGAGAGGGTGTGGTCTTCCTGGATCTCCTGAAGTCCACTATGACTTCTTTGGTCTTGGTGGTGTTCAGGACCAGGTTGTTGTCCGAGCACCACTCAGCCAGATGTTCGACCTCCTGTCTGTAGTGTGTCTCGTCATTGTTGGAGATGAGTCCCACCACAGTGGTGTCGTCAGCAAACTTCACTATTGTGTTGGAGGAATATGTGGCGGAGCAGTCCTGGGTGAAGAGGGTGAAGAGGGCCGGGCTGAGCACACAGCCCTGCGGTGCACCAGTGTTCAGGATGGTGGTTGTTGATGTCAGGTTCCCTATCCTGACATTCTGTGGTCTGTTTGAGAGAAAGTCCAGAATCCATGAACAGAGTGATGTAGAAAGTCCAAAGTTTTTGAGTTTATGCACCAGTTTATGGGGGATGATGGTGTTGAAAGCAGAGCTGAAGTCAATGAAGAGCATCCTGACGTATGGGTGCTCCAGGTGAGACAGGGCCGTATGAAGTGTGATGGAGATCGCGTCGTCCGTAGACCAGGTCTACGGAGACCTGTGTCCTCCGTAGACCTGTTTGCTCTGTACGCAAACTGGTGGCTGTCCAGGTCTGCTGGGAGGACGTCCTTGATGTGCGATAGTATCATCCTCTCGAAGCACTTCATGATGACTGGGGTCATGAACCTGGGAAATATGTGAAATCTACTGTTGGACACATGCGGTGTGATTACACAAGAAGTTATAAATTCATAATTTATCAGTGTTAACCCTGACATACATGCAACAGTTTTAGCCTAGTTTAAAAAATGTTTGAAATTACAATTTGCATAAATTAAGTAAAGTATATTACGGATTTCAAGGATATGATTGAATTCTTTATATTCATGTCATGCACATAATGTGCCCAACCCTCATGGGTTTATAAGACACCACAGATACAGCTACAGTGGTAAAACATTTCATTCAATTACAAAATCGGTCTTTGGTTCTACCTTCTTTCGCAGGCTTGGCAAATAAAACCTGCTACAAGAAAGGTTCCCTATCTGAGGCACAACTCCAGTTTTTCATTGTCGCCCAGCTGAAAGAAATAAACATAAATGGAGGTAATTTAACTAAAGAGTATATCCCTTTTGTCCAAGAAGAGTAAATTAAAGTAACATTTAATCTATGCTTTTATATAATCCTAAAGATATTAGGGACTGTTTGAAAGTTGTTATAAGGGGAGGAATATGTAGTTTTTGTGCTAAAGGGAAGATAGTCAGATTTATTTATTTACTTTGCAGGTGGGGGGGATTTATCATTTATTTCATGATTTTCTTGCGAGGTTTACTGTAAACCAAAAAGATAGTTTCATAAACATACTTGTCAAAAACAAGCCTTTGAGGATGCCATACATGATAAAGATACGTCTTTCCATTCCTCAACTCATACCAGAGTCTCTCAAGTGCACCTTGCCTTGCACGATATGTGCTTCAGTGAGAGAAAGAACTGAGGTGCAATTACAGACTGACTCACCGTGCTGTACTTGAGACTGTAGGTGTGTAGAGACCGATGGATCAGTATTGTCATTAACAACAACATTCCCTCACTGGGTGGGTGAGGCCTACACATACACACTAACCACAAAAGCATGCAAGGTGAGGCCGATCCACATTCCCATGTCAGTGCAGAGACCAAAGATGCTGCTACAGAGTTGTCAAACAGATGATGTAACCTTTATTAAGATCCAACCGTGGGCAGGAATAACACGATCAGCACATATAGTACAGCAGCAGATCATCAGTCACCTCACATGTGGTTGTGACAAAGCAAGAGATGAAATAAAGTTGTGAAGCAGCAGGGTTACGCTTAAACAAAAGCTAACACCAACAACATGACTTCTGAGATCCGTTTTGGCATTTTGACCTGTGTTGAAAACTGCATGTAAAGAATTGTGATCCGCAATCTGTTCCTCGTGACAACCTGTAGTACAGGATCAGTGTCCTCAGATGTGACCGCAGATATGTCTCCTCCCAGTGGATGAACTGAGACTGCAGCTGCAGGACAATCCGGTTTCACCGTCTCCTTCACTGAGTCGATTCAGTTCACTTTTAGTTCACTTGGTTCAGGAAGTTTCTTAAAACTCAAATGCTGCAAATGTTTTGGCATCTCAAAAATGGATATCTGACATAAGGAACGTAGCCTGCTCTGTATTAAGTACAATGTCTATTTACATTTTGAAAAAACTGATTTGAAATTTACTTTCACTTCAGCCTCTGTAACTTAAAGTGCAGAGATCAATGCTTCAACAGTCGCTGTCTGAAATACAGTTTAGGCCTGAACACGGACACAGTGTTGATGTGTCGGTGACATGAAAGATAAACATAACCCCAAAGTAAGTCAGATTAATATTTCATCATGTAACATATTTATCATGCAGGCAGCACCAGTCACATATGTATCTTGTCTGTAATGTGTGTGTGTGTGTGTGTGTGTGTGTGTATGTGAGAGGGAGTCAGTTAGGCAGTGAATCAATTTTGTTCTATCTCACTTGTAGATTCAACAGTTTCAGTTTAATGGATACAAAGAACCGTCCTTCTAAAACAAACAATTAAGCCAATATATAACAATTGCTTTTTATGTAAATCTATATTTTTAACTGCTGAATGTATTATGCAAATATACAAATGTTGATTGCAGCCAACGACTTTGGGTCCTCTGTTCCCACTTTCCTCACTAAACGCCAGGTCTGCTGCACGTGGTGATGATGTTACAGGGGTCAAGGTCTCAGAGCTCCGTCATCAGGAGGGCTCTTAGTATTTTCTCTCTGTCCAACCTCATTTCCTCTCCGCTACAAACATAGAAAGATACAAACCTCGTGTCGTAAGAAGTTTGAAGATTTAAGTCTCCACAATTGTGCCTGTTTTCATTTCATTTCCTACATGTAACCAGGTAATAGACTGATGAAAGGCCAAAAGGGAACAATAAAGACGATACAAACAATCATAACAATGGAAGACAACTCTGCATTACAAAGGCAGAGAGAGAGACGTAACTACAGAAAAAGTGAAGTTAAGTAACAGATAAAGAAGTTGTAAAACCTTATTGGACAGTGACAGTAGTGTACAGACAGGAAAAATAATTGGCAATAATTTTGATAATAGAGTTCTTGCTTTAGTCATTTTTATAAGCAAAAAAGCCAAATATTTGCGTGTTCCAGCTTCTTAAATGTGAAGATTTGATGCTGTGTCTTTGTCACACATGAAAGCAAACTGAATATATTTAGGTTTTGAACTCTTGGTCAGACAAAACAAGACATTTGTCACCTCAGGCTGTGTTTTTTTAGTTTTCTCATGTTAGAGACAAAATTATTAACAGATTAATCAAGAGAAGAATCCGCATATTAATCAATAATGAAAATAATTGTTAGCTGCAGCCCTGGTTGTATGGTAACACTCAACCACGATGCCCCCACATCCTTACTTCAGATCTCCGGAGGGAGATTTTTAGCAAATACATTGAGAATTGAGGTGTGTTACCTGTCGTTATGGGCAGCAAGGTAAGGGACCAGGCGAGGAATGGAGCTATGGTAGTAAGAGGGGGAGAGATGGGGAGAAGGCGAAGGAGAGGGACAGCATGGAATACCCAGCTCCAGTGCTGGCATATTATCCACCTGGAATAAACATCAATGTGTACACACACACACACACACACACACGCACACACACAAACAGACATTCCTCTGTTTACTTACAAGTAATGCTGAGAGGCATTCAACAAACATGCACTCTGGTTTTTTAAGGTGTGTGTGCGTGTTTGAGAGCACCTGTGGGAATATGGACGGCTGTATCTGTTTGTCCAATGAGCTGCTAGACCCTGACTTTCCTGCACTCTCGGAGGAGATTGCTGCAAGTGCTTCTGGGAGATTATCTTCATCTTCATGGTTACTGCGTGAGAGATAATTTGAGAGAGACTAAATGACTTACATGACCTGCACATTGATCTGAATAACATTTTTTCAAAAGCGGAGACAGTGTTGCTTTTGCTTCAAGTACTCTGTGGAGTATTGTTTTCCAGAGCGCAACGTTCCTCTTGTGAAAGCTCAAGTGCTGGTTGGGAGACAGTAATCAAAGGTGATGTGTACTCACAAGCTGAACTGTCTGACCAGTCGTTTTCTGCGGTTGGTGCTCACGTTGGCTTTGGGATGCAGCCCCTCCGGCGTTGGGTTGAGGTCTTGCCAATGTGGCGTCTTCTCTGCCGTCAGACTGGATGCAGCTGAGTCTTGGGATGAACTCTGACACCTGAGGACCAGAGTCATCATCAGATAGAGAGTTAGTCTTAAATACACATGTGCAGAAACATATTTAAGCCTGTAACGATAGGATGAGGGCACCGGCCTGTCAATAAAGGTCTCATCTGAGTTCTTCCCTCTAGGCGTTGTTGGAGCTTCCTTCTACATCGTGGAGGAAAAGAGGATACCGGTGTTAGATACACTGCACTGGACACTTTGATGGTTAGGTGGAAGTCTGCTTTGGTACTCACCCTGAAGGCCGCCTCCATCTGGGCCTTGAGGATGTTACACTTAAGATGATCAGGGAGCATCGCCGGGGAGTTAGGAGGGTGCAGAGACTTTTCAGACAGCTGCTTCTCCTCTCCCTGGCAGGGGAACAGGGAGTAAAGAAACTTGGGATCTTATTGTGAGCAGAATGGGGAAGCAGTGTGTGGGGACAGTGTCTGACCTTGTTGTCCATGTTGACGTGCAGCGAAGGCCAGGGAGGAGATTCACCGTCTGACTCTAGAGCCTTGTGCAGAGACTGGGAGACATCCAACTCATCTCCAGGGCAGTGAGGAGCTCGGCGTTCTAATGCACACAAAGTTTAATGAGAAAATGAACTCTACGCTACATTAGGTATTGTGTAGACATGCTACTTTTTGGACACCGTTGATTCGTTAGCATGAACAGGCTCATTTGGCTACTTGTGTAATACCTGAGGAAGTCCGTGTCTAAAAAGTGTATCGTATGAATGCGTTATATTATTGATTTTCATCCACAGTGGCACATTTTTACAAAAGCTTTTGTACATAAACAGAAAATAATCTTTATTGTAAAGAAAGAAAAAAACACAAGAAAATGTGTTTAAAAGGGGCAGTTCACCCAAAACACAAAAATGTCTTAAAACGGTAGTCACCCGACGCTTTTTTCTTGCTGTAATCATTCCTTTGGTTCATACTGGCCATGAACATTAAGAGATACCTTCAGGATGCACTTTTATTATAAGAGACTGGGCCAAAATCTGCAGTCCTTTGTGCAAAACCATATTCCAACGTTTATCTGAAGCTTATTGGAGGCTTCAGCAGTCCAATTTATCAAAGCAAGAGGGTATCTTCTATAGTTACATTCTTTTTAGAGCAAAATCTAGCCTCAAATTGGGCAAATATGTTTTCTGTGATTCATACAGCGATGAGGACGGAAAGAGCATCAGTGTATTGACATATCACAGATTGGACGGCTCTCCCTCAGGCTGAGAGTACTCACTGTTCTTGGTGTGTGTGTGACAGAGCGTTTCCTGGCTGTGTGTGTGGCGGCGGTGATGGTGGTGGATCTTGCCAGAATACGAACTCTCATTCTCTTCAATGCTGAACTGATGGTCTGAAGCAGGACCACTCAGAGGGAAACTAAAGACAACATATGCAATCAAAGTATTTTCTCCTCCACAAACTGTAATATTCAAATAAATCATTATTCTTTGAATTCTAATCATTCAAACTTTCTGACTCAAGGTTCTAGAGAATATTCAACAAACACCATTGTAGATGTGGAGATAGACAGTATAAGACTGTTACAAGAGGGCTTAAGTTATAAAACAATGAAGGTCAGACAGATCTTTGCAGATTTTTACTTTTTTCTTTGCAATTATAAACATTGTTTATTTGAAAAGCCGAGTACGTCAACACACGATAATGCAAAAACATTGACCACATTTTCTGTAAACAGTTGGTTGATTCAGCAAATTCACAACCTGCTATAATAATGTAAAGTTTATTTAAAAACCTGTCTTTGAAAGCACAACAACACATTCTACGCATCTATTTCACACTGAACTATAACAATATAGCTTAAAGCAGCTCAATCCCTAAACCAGCATACAGTATGTGCTTCCACCCGTTGAGAATTACCTCACTCGCATCACTTTATCTCATTCAAATTAAAGTGATATTGATAAATTAGTGTCATACGCTTTATCATGCATGAAGACACATTTTATCTTCAAGGCAGATTTGTGATCCTGTGGTAAACATGTCGAAGGATTAAAACACCAGCCACGAGTACATGAAAAGGTCCACAAATAAAGCAAGGCACAAAGCTATTACACCTGGTCCTATCCTAATTTCATTTGTGTTTTAGTGGTGTGATTTACTCTATGTCAAGGGTTTTGAAAGTTGGACACTTTATATCTGTATATGAACCATGTTGATGAGACATTCTGAGTCTTAGTCATGTCAAAAAAACAATATTTGGTACAACCCGAAGAAAATGAGTATCGATGGATTTTGTCACTTTTATTTTTGGTATTCTTACTCTTACTTCAGCAGGATAATCATGCTCTAATTTTATTAGCAATTTAATGGATTTGGAATCTGTAAACAGGAAATATAACGTTACCATTTAGTCAGTGAGTTAGCTGTGAGCTACAACTTTACATTTTGGCAAACTGGCACCATCAAAAGTATTCCGTATGAGCCATCAGCAGTTCCTGTTTGCGATGTACCCATGAATATACAGATTTCTAGGTGTAAGTCATAGTAATGACAACATGAAAGGAGGTTTTTTATGCAAATTTCAGCAATCATTACAATGGTGGTCAGTTTTAAAGTGCCTTAATTGCCTCCACAAGCTGTGTGTCACAGCCACAGCTGTTGATGCAACTGTTGACCGTGTCGATAAGAGGCCCAAAGTTAAATAACTTCCTGTTGCACCCGTCCCTTTCACCTCATGTCTCTCCCATTGCTCCTTTTTGGGATATCTCATGAAGGCGTACACTGAAACACATGAGGCGATGTGACAAATGGATGATGACAGAGGTGATGAGGATGATGGGGGCAACTTTTCCCATTGAATCCATCAAAGGAGCCGCTCTCTCTCTCTCTCTCTCTCTCTCTCTCTCTCTCTCTGGGACACCAGTCTGTGTAATTCTCAGTGTTAAGAGTCTGGGTTGGAAACAGATTCCCAGTTCAAACAGAGGTCAAAGTGCGGTCATGACCTTATCCCTGTAAACCACACTGATCGATCCTGGGAAGGTGCCGCTGGTGCGCTGTGGGGCGGGAGGATGACTGGACACGGGACTCGCAAACTGGGAAGAAGGCCTGAACGTCACAGGGAGATGGAGGATCACACAGACGCACACACACACACACACGCACACACACACAGGCAGACGAGACAAACACAGACATGTGAGGTTTATGAGTGACATGAAGTGTGGTGAAAAACAGATCATTTGGAATGTGAGATGAGTGACTTTGTCTAAAAATCAATTTCTGATCAAGGACCCCTGAGACTGACTCGCATCATTCTTGAAGCAATTTAAAAATCAATGTCCTGGAGTATCTCTACACCCTGCTCTCTGTGGTTGGTTGTCTTACCTGTGTGATGGTTTGTCCCCGGAGTGGTGCAGGTAAACTGGAGGTGTGAGAGCCGGGTGGGGCGGGTGCCACGGCTCGTGGCCAATAGGAATGTTGTGCTGGTACTGGAGGGGAGAAGAGGAGACAGATTGAAGAGACGCCGAAATTAAATGTTGTCACAAGAGCGGAGCCAGATCAGTGGCTGCTGCGCGTGTGTGTGTGTTTAAAAGTAGGTTATCTGAGGTCACTCACTGGATGTAGGCTGGGATCAGGGCTGGCGTGAGAGCTGGAAAATATGGACAACAATCACTGACAGCAGATTATCAAACCAACTGAAAACATTAACTTCTTTATGTGTTTAGACCAAGCAAAGTATCCTCACAAGGTGAGGAAAACCCTACAAAGTGACGACCATTTCACTTTCTTTTACACAGGGCTATTTTTGTGTTAGTGTTAAGATTATCCAGGCCGTTATGTGGATTAAGGTCAAGGTTAGAGGATAAGGAATGAATGTAATAAAAGGAATGTCCTCACAAATACAGTAATATGAATGTGCATGTGTGTATTTGTGGTTGTTTGTGTGTATTTTACCCGATATGTGACGGCTTGGCTGGGGAAATGGCAGCTAACAGAAAGAGAGAAGAAAAATAGAACAGCAGGAAATATGACTATTTGTCACTCTATCCTCATTTATCTGAGCTTCTATCTGGTGTAAGTCTGTTTTTCAGTCCAGACTCCTTGCATACATGTTGTTAACCGTTATCAACACTTGAATCTTCATTCATTTTTGTCCAATAAATAAAAGGTGTGTGGAAGTAAATACAGTTCACAGTCTGCACCTGATCATTCATTAATGATATTCTAGAGGCATCTAAAGCTACTGTAGCTCACAGATGGTGGGAATATTAAGGAGTACCGCGGGTGTTTTAAGACCTGCTTAAGAATAAGGAACCTGTTGAATGAGCACTTTATTTTAGACATTTTTGGAAGGGCTGAATATTTTACAGGCTGCAGCTTTTCTCTGAAATAATCAAGTGTTCCTGAATTACAATGAACTAAAACAGTATGTGGCCTCTATGATAACACGTGCAGGCACATAAAGGACTAAGTAGGTGCTGTTAGTCATCAACTTTTACATGTGCTGACACGACTCACCTTTGCTCAGCGACTGTGTTCGGGAGGGGTACCTCTTGCTCGGCCTTCTCTCGAATGTGCTGGCTCTCCTCACTCGGCCTCCACGAGTGGCCTGATACTCTGTCTTACCACTGAGACCAACACATAGAAGACGGGGAAAGGTATACAAGTTGTTATTATAAAGCAACCACAGTGCAGTCTGACTCCAGTTCATGTGTTCAGAATTCACCTCTTTAAGGATGGAAAATAAATATAGTCAGTTGTTATTGTGCCACTATCAAGAAGACTGCTCCTTAAATAGTTTAATAGGCAAAGTCTTTGATGAGACTATCATTCCTTTACGATTGAGAGGTTGAATGAGAAAGCAGGTAAAGTAAAGAATAAATAAAAATGTATAAAAACTAGTGTAGTTTATGAAAACACAGAAACTTAACGCAAAACCGAGATTAAAGTAATTCAGCAAAAGAAGTTCACATGATTTTTGACTATATTTCTATTTAATTGACTTGGCATTTCTTACTGTTTTGCTCCTAAAATATCCTCTTATGCACATGCAAATGCGCATTCATTTCCTTCATGAAATTACTAAAACAGCTGACATCAGTTTGTTCTTCACACTGACTACATTACACGCTACAGGTGTTCCTGTTTTTGAATCCATCGACTCCAACGTGAAACAGACTTTGTAATGCTTTGTTTCGCTGCTCTAACAAATGTCAGGAAGTGCCCTTCAAGTGTGACAATTTGCTTTGACCGTCTCTGATAATGGTCAGAAGAAAACAAACAATATGAAGGGAACATTTCAGTCGCCATAGGAACAGGTCCATGTAACCATAGATACACTGTAACCATAGATACACAGGCTCCGTTTTGTGTGACAGGCTGTTTCCCCGTGTGCTGGAAATTAGTGCCGTCCACCACTACCTGAGTGAGACAACTTGTGTTATCCTTCTTTAGTGCCGTTCCAGCTGTCAATAACACAGTTCACGAGTACGAGGAGCAGGTGTTAGTCCGTCTCTGAGGTCTACCTGAATCTGAAGCGAGACCCAAGTCGCGTGAAGTCGCTTCGGCTGGCCTTGCCTGTGGTTGGTTGGCGTAGCCGGAAGAAGGCGTGGCTCTCCACGGCACACTTCCACAGGTGTTTACAGCTCTTGGAGCTGTCCAGCTGGAACACAAACGTGTGCTCCTGCTCCCGACCCTGAAGTCAGAAAACAAACAAATATTGTTCGCCGCCTTGTGTGTGTGTGTGTGTGTGTGTGTGCTTGTGAGTATGCAAGGTGTGTGTTAGTGTTTGTGACAGGATACAAACCTGATCGTCTTCCTCCACCACGGCCAACGTGAGTCGACTCCTTTTGAAGTCCAGCCGAGTGATTTTGGGCCTGGGTAACACACAGAGACACACACACATGAACAACAAAACCAATGACTCTACATTAGTAACTCAGGCTTGAGTCTTATTGAAGAAGGTTGAGATGATCAGAGCAGTGCTTTCCAAACAAATGGAAACCATAGCACCTTCAACAGGTATGATAACACCAATACCAAGATAATTTATATACAGTAGGCCTTTTCTCATTCACTCAAGAAAAAAGGGTCTGCAGTTAAGTTGCTCTGCGGACTTACTGATAAATATTGATATATCCATTTAGACATTTACTGCGATGTACCTGGAAAAGTCAGGAGCCAGAAAGCGTGTTGCGTTACAGTGTCATGCTGTCATGTCATTAGCTGCAACATAACTGCAAATGTTTTAATGAGGAGATTCTGGTGTTTATTGCTCATTTACATTGTTAAACGTGATGCGTTTAAACATAATGTAAAAATGTGTTAAATGTGGTGAAACTTTAAAAATGGACAGATTTAGTTGCACCCTTGGCCCGTCCTGAAGTCACACCAGGGTGCCACAGCACCCACATTGGGAACCACCGGTCTAGAGATGTGTTCGATGTACTTACCAAAAGAAGAGGCCAATTTTGTTGCGGCCTTCAAATACTAAAATGCCGGTAGGAGTGAGACCTAGTGCATATTCTCCTCCGTCTCTGCCCTGAAGAAACAATACACACACATTTAGTTGTCAAACACACTTGTAATGAAGTGACACTTGTGAAAGTAAAATACACTCGCACACCTTGACAAAGTGCATATCTACTCCGTAAAGTTCCAGCCACTTGCATTTGTTGAGAAAAGAAATCTCTGCTTCTGTCGGACTCTTTCCCCTGTGGATTTAAAATCAGACACCACATTAAGTTTTCACAAAAAAAATATCACTTTATCCGTCACCTCAGTTATGACACTTTGAAAAAGAAAAGTGTCAATAACGCCACTTGCTGCATGGCCTCTACTGGTTAATTGGTGTAAACTCAGAGTGGGTAACCCCCTGGCTGCGTCCCTCACTCAGTCTCGGTGTTGTGCGTAACAATGACTGCGAACTCAGTGCGAGTTTGTCCTTGTGTGGCTCAGTCGGCTTGGTGAGGCGCTGCATGTGTGTGTAATCTAATCCGAGATGGGAGCAATCAGACCGTGGCTGGGTTAAACATTGCCCAAAATCAATCAAGACCCTCCAGGGATTAATCCTTTAATCCTTCGTACAAACCAGTGAGAGCGAGGCCGATGCCGAGGCAGGGGGGTGAAATTTAGACGCCCTCATCAGTACAAACGCTGGTGCTGAAAGGCAGCAGCAGAATGTCTTCCCTTCCTGCTCAGCTTTTTTTTGCTCCAGTTGTTTCGCTCCAATGAGGAGATAAACCTGCTCAGGTCACTGGACGCCCTCCAATAAGTTGCTTTGACACAGCAAGTTTTGTGGCAACCAGTGCAGATGTACGTGTAGAAATATGGCTGTAAAAGTCCCATTTTCTACAACAAGTCTGACACTGAATTCATGATCAAACTCACCGGAGGTCCAACCACCTGCCAAAGATGTCCGCCTCCATGGGCGCGCTCTGTTTGGGAGTGAAGCGAAACTCAGACACCAGCTCTGGAGAGTGCTCCAGGGGATCACAGTCTCCCATCTCACCTGGATGTGAAAGCACAGAAAGAGATATCAAGTACAGATGCATTCTCTACTTGTTACACTATGTTTTACCATTATCCTGTAATTATCTCTTGTGGCCACAATGACTGCTATTCAGCAAAAATGTCATAGTCTCTCTGCATGTTCACGCTGCATCAAAGCATATTTTTAATGCAAGGAACCACCAAATTTATATTGTACTTTTCCATTTTAGCTTACTGCTCGACCTCTGCATTTGATTTTTAGATAGCACAGACCATACTGATGTCTACTGTTTTATCTTTAAACTATCCATATAGTGTTTGTGTCTATGTGTAAATAAAGTTTTGCTTGCTTGCATAAATGTCTTGCTTGGATGTCAAAGTAAACGCACCACTGAGAAAGAAAAAACTGCTTTACCAACGACAAATTAGACAGTAAATAAAAAATCAAATATATACGAGTGGACTAAATGTTGCAAGCAGATTTTCATATCACAGTGAAATGAATGGAGATTAATGGCCTCCCAGAACGTGAAAAATCAATCTAAAAGTCTACTTACTTTGTAAACAAAATGCCGCCAGCTCTACTGAGACATCATACGGACATTTCAATCTGACCAGAGAAAGAGAGACACTGCTGATGAGCTGTTTTTAGTGTAAGTGCATTCATAGCGTACATGTTATCATGTGTGGGATAGACATAAAAGAATGCCCTCCACTGTGTGTGTGTGTGTGTGTGTGTGTGTGTGTGTGTCAAGGAGAAGAGGAGCAACCCTTTTTCCGAAAATAAGCAGCCCTCTGCTGTTCCTGATCTTTATAATAGAGTTGGACTCTGGGGATGCGTGGCCCAGATAGTCAGGAGGAGGGAGAGGGGTAGCACGCTGTCGGAGTGTGTGTTTGTGCATGCAGGTTTGTGTTTGTGTGTGAGAAAGCCGGCTCCACTGTACAGAATACCCCAAACTCTAATGTAGGCGACCCGTGTGGACGCTCCCACAGATGAGTGTGTTTAACGCTACTTTTGAGAACCAGAATTCTTGACAGATTAAGAGAAATTACCAAATGTTTTCTTCTGTTAACAAGGCTTTTCAGAAATCGTTTTAATCTTTATCTTCCATTAGACGCCAGTAATGAGGTCAACATTTCTTACAGACACAGAGGGACATTTTTTTATTAAATTGCATATTTTTCACCATTCATAAGCTTAACATTTACCTCCATTAAAATGATAGTTTTCTTCTTTTGTTTACCCTCAAGTAGCTTTAAGATTGTGATGATGCTTATTGTCTCACACCATCACATATATATTCTGTATCAGCTTGTTACAGTTCTTTAATGAATGTTATAGTAATAGAGTCAAATATCAAAAGGCAAGACTCTGACAGAATGTTTTGTCTGGCTACAGCTCTCCATCTAAATAAATATCATAGAAGTCTTTGGCATCATTTTGAAACACATTTCCTTATAATTCATGATCAAATTTAGTATTGTTGTAAACTTTTGGCTCTCCATTAGAATTAAAAAACAAGTTCTGTGGGTTTTGAATAAATGGTTGTACACCATGCGTTTGTAATGTCTAAACCACTGCCAGCTGCTGTTTCCGGGGTTAATTAACATATCAAACAAACAACTGTTACCTGACTTGACCTCCTAACAACCACGTTAATTGTTGAATTGTTAGGATAGGAAGTAATTGTCAGTATGTTTCCACTTCCCGCTCTTTATATTTGGACCTGTAATTGACTTCCTATCCTTATTATTTGTGTAATGAAGTTACCTGCTGGGCAACGAATCAAACACACTTATCAAGCTGACTTATACAGCACCAAGTTCTCATCCTCTCCTGTTTGTCTCTCGACTCACTTAGAGTAAATAAACGTGTTTCCCAAAAATGTCGAACTAATCCTTTCGATGTGTACAAAATATGTAATATGATCATATGTATGTGATATATAAAATGGAGGTATTTGTGTATACATATCTGTCTCCGAGTATGTTGTACTGTAGTGTTTACATTTGTCTGCGTTAACAGCGACAAAGGAACTTACTTGCCAGACAGAATATCTTGTCGAAGCTGCAACACGAACAGATACCTGTTGGTGTAAAAAAACAAACATCAACACACAGAGTGAGAGGCTCACCGGACATAAATCAATTGCCGTATTACAGGCTTTTCCTCATCTCTGACACATCATTTGTTTTAACAAGTCTCTGTTCGTTCGGCCTTGATTTGAATCTGCCCACAGCAGCAAAGTAATTAGCCCCGCATCCCCTTTAGACCTCCGCACTGGGCTCCTGAGAAAACCAAGTGTGTGTGAGTGTCTGATTTGTGTGTGTGTGAGAGATCTTTACCTTGTAAATTCCTCACGCAGGTTATTTGGCTCTGAAGAGTAAAATTTCACTCTGAAGAACAGCTTGTATCGAGGCCCGTCTAAAAGACCAAAAAGAGAGAGCAGAGTGTAAAAAAATAAATACTGAATGTGTAGGTGTGTGTATGTGTGAGAGACAAAGAGGTAGACAAAGATAAAGTAGCAATTTATCAATCAAATCAAATCGTCTTATGATTTATTTTATCCGTTTTATCTCATCCATCACCGTCAGACAGGCCATGAATCTTTATTCACCTGTATTTCTTTGCAACCTACTCTATTATTCCTTTCCTGTTTAACTTTAACATCGATCAGACTCTTCTTTTGAGGCCCCTGAAGCACAAAAGGACCGGCGAACCAGTAGGACATCAGTCTCTCCTGTACCATTCATCTCTCTGTCACAAGCTGGAGAGGTAAACAAGGGTACGGCTCCGAATGCAAATGCTAATCACCCTGTCAACATTGGATAATGCGGCACCTGCTCCCCACTTACCTGCTTCCACATACTGCACATTTTCCAGCACACACAACACGAGTAGGCCTAATTGGACAAAGAGTCTAAGTTGAACTTACCTCGGATCTGTTTATTTATCAGCTTGGACATATCCAGCCAGTGCTAGGAGAGAGAAAAGAATAGGAAGGGGAAAATTAGTTTTATCAGCTTGTGGGCGACTGTGAGAGAAGTAAGAGAGCTCGTTACTCACTGAGACTTGCTCCGAGTCCATGTACTGCAATCCAAAGTAGTCCGTCTCCACCAGATCTATGTGATACATGATCTGGTCAAAAAGGTCCTGGCCTTTAGACTTGCTCTACAAAGGAAGAACAAAAGGGCAAATATTTGTGGCTGAGCTTCATGCTTGTTTATTCTCATCTCCTGCACTGTAGTAACCTGATCCTCTCCGGATGAATTGAGTCTTAAAACTCGAGTTTCACCATGCAGGTGGCTGCCAGATTTCCCAGTAATGTAGGCACGAAAGACAATAACGGGCACAAAACGAGTTAAAGTGGACGTGAAGGTGGCTGTCTGTCTGTGTGTGTGTGTGTGTGTGCGTGTGGGTCAAAAAGAGAAGGGCAAGCCACTGAGGGGAGAGGTCTTTACTCAGGCCTTGGTTAATAACACACACGTCACTGTACTGAAGCAAAACATTTTGTCCCAAACTTCACTCGAGCAGATGTGCCTCATCGCCCAGCATGAAGACCTGACCCCAGTCTGCCCCATATAACACACAGTGGGTGTGTAGAAAGATGACAGCCTTGTACTTTGGATCCTGATAACAACTCTAAACTTCCTGGTGCGCCTATGAATGTGTGAGGAAATCAGTGGTATTAAGGGATTGGGGACGAGGGGGTGGGGGGGGGTGAGGGAATCACGCTCTTGCTCATTCTGCAGCATGTAGTTTTAGAGAGGCTGATAGAAATCATGGCCTCTATTACACGGGTGCACATGATGTGGCAGAAATGTGACACACACTTGAGTGAATATATTTTTGAAGTGACAGGCTAATAAGCTTTAATGGCCAATTTTCAGCTCTGCTCAGCACACCCGGCATGTGGCAACTTGTTCCAACACACCTTCGACTAAGCTACCAGCTTGACAAGCCCAGCGTCATTTAGTTGTTGGAGCTATGGCTTTGTGTTAGCGCTGTAATCTCCCCGTTGGTCTGTAAGAGAAATACTCTCGCTACTCTTGATAACCCATTATACACCGTCCGGGCGTTTCAGAGGTGACGCATGCACGCAGCAGCTTCGGTGACACACGCAACCTTCAAAATGAAAACATCTTACGAGAAGCCACTTGCGCACGAATGCCCACACACTCGCTCATCATCCCACCTACCCCTCACACACTCGTAGCACTCGTCTGTGACACAGAGTCCCCACAGTTAAAATCAGATCAGGGAGTCGGGGAATTAAAGGGAGATGGACGGAGAACAGGAGGAAAAAGGAGAAGAAGGAGGAGGCAGAGTGTGAAAGAGTAAGACGATGAGCGAGGGAGCAGGCCACAGAGGGAGTGTAAAAGAAGATTAAGAGGGGAAAATGGCACAAGGAAGGGAGTGAGGGGGAGAGCAGAGATTGCTTGAGGAAGATCTGATACAAGCAAATAGACTGAGAGAGAAGAAGAAGAACAAAGTGAAAGGAAGACGTTGTAAACAGGATTGGGCAGCTTCAGGTCTATCTTAGGTAGATTTCCCGGCAGTCAGAAATGGGGAAGTAATGTGATGACTTGGCAGATCATAACACCATCTGGAGCTTCTCCTCTCACAGTACAGGAAGAGGCACACACACACACACACACACACACACACACACACTAACAGGCTACTATAAAGGCCACTATAACGATACAGGCACTGAAACTTTGGTAACTTTTCTCTGCTGAACTTCCAATAGACACATTCTAGACACATTGTTCGTTATCGATTTAAACTTCAGCTACAAGTGATTTACTTCGCTGATTCCTCTGTTTAGCCAAATAAATATCCAACACAACAAAACAACAACTATGTTCTATATCCAGAGATGAGGTCTTCAAGTTGTTCATTTTGTTTGGCCATCAGTCCAAAACTGATATAAAATGATATAAAAAAAGAGAAAAACAGCAAATCCTTTTTGTTTATAGTTGATCACTGTTCAAAATAGTTTGAGCCTTAATTGACGCTGCATGTCTGCTCCATGAATGGCAAAATAAAAAGCATATTCACTTCAACATATTATCTAACCAGGATTGTGTTCAACTTTAACTTTAACAACTTTAACTTGTAATTATTCCAATCAACCTTAGTGGCAGTTTCTCCTTATATTTTGAATTTAAAAAGTTGAAAGTAAATGGACAACAGCCCTGACTCCAGGCTAAACATGGTCAATGTCACCTGTCTCTCACTTTTACAGCGAACCACCAGGAACCCCCCACAGGGTCCCTCCGGGGTCCCCGGGCCGCACTTTGACCCTCACTGACCTGGTCTACCACCTAGTCCTGCGCCACGTACTCTATTTACACACGCTGGCGGGCCAGTGTCAACACACAAAGCCGCTGTGGGCTTCACACACTCACAGGCAAATCCACATTGACGTCCGAGCCGTCCAGCAGCAGCACGCGGCAGCTGATGCTGGTCCTCGCGGTCCCGGCCGCCGGGATGTGAACCGATGCCCCCCCGCTGACCACGGCGGGCGTGTGTACGACCTGCTGCTGATGGGCCAGGAGCAGGGGGTTCCCAGTCATCCCTCCTGCTCCTCCTCCTCCTCCTCCCCCTTTACCGTCCCGCTCGTCCCTCTCTCTCGTCTGGAAGCGGCTTCGGGAACGGTGGCTGAACGTCCGGCGCAGAAAGCCCATCATCTTCCTCAACCACAAGGTGAGGTGGTGGTCCGTGTTGTGTCCGTGAAAACTGCCCCACGCAACAGTCGGTGAAGCCGGGGTCCCGCTTCTGCTGCTGCCGCCACCTCCTCCTCGTCCTCCCCGGGGCGAGGAGTCACTTAGCAGGCACGGAGGAGACTTCAGGGCTGCCGATCAGTCCTCAGGCTGCAGGGGGGGACTCCAGCCGCATACTAATGAAACTACCACAGATCGACCACCGAGGCGCCAACCAGTTGATTTTCGACCATTCGGCCCGGTGTGAACGACGGGACTCTCTCACGGAAATACAAGCAGCCCTCCTCCTCCTGTCCTCTCTCGTGCACCTGCCTCCTGCTTCGCTCGCTGTTGCGCACCGACTCTAAAATACCGGAGAAAACCCGTCCGACACCCCGCAGTGGGAGCCTCACTGGGCCGGGGGAGGCGGTAGAAAGTCGTGTAACCTCTGAACCGGGACCCCGGTGGTTGCGGTTCCTTATCCCACCGGCGAATCGAACTAGTCTACCTCACAGGTAAAAGTCAACCAACGAAACTGGACAAACAGTGTGTTGTGCGCCTGCGCACAAACACCACGCAGAACAAACTTCAGTTTTTTGCGACTGGCTGACCCACCAGTGCCGTCGAACCAGCGCCACCTGTCTGTCACAGGTCCGCCTGCTTAATAGTGGATCCTGAGTGGTTCCCAGGGTGGGGTCATGTCATAATGATTATGATTTATGTCGCTCTATTTGTCAAAGCCGTACCAGCACTGTAGAAATCTGAGCTCATGAGTCCAAGTCAAAAACAAACACATTTTTTGTATTTGTTTGGATTTGTATTAATATTTATGTAGGCATCTATTCAAATATATTTTCTGTAAAACATGTATCATCATGAACGTCTACGAAGCTCTCTCCGCACTGCCAAGAATACAATTCTGGCAAAAAATATGAAATACCGTATTTATTTTTCATTGGGTTAAAAATACTCATTCAATTTTATTGCACCTTAAAAATATTGAAATCAGGTTATAAATTATTTTTAAGACTTTATGACATTTTTTATTTCAATATTTTTATTTATCAAGTCCGTACCAATAATAAAACTTTCCCCAAATTTCCCATTTCCACACCGTACAAACACAAATAAATGGGGCCAACCACAAATTAGTGTTTTTCTTAGAAATAAACTATTCAATTATGATAAAGTACAAAATCATAACTCCACCACTGAGTGTGCTTCCACCTCATCCTTACTTTTACAAACTAACTCTACACACACCCTCAGATGTGCAACTGTTGGACCAAAAATATGAAGATTTTGAGTCAGTCGCTTCTGTACATAGTTTATAAGTGAAATGATGACATGATACTTATTTGGTTTTAGTTGGTACTTTGCAAATTGCACTCCTACTCTTCATACCTGGATGATACTGTTCGTAAAAAAAAAAAAAAGTACTACCAAAGCACAAATATAAAAACAGTGAATTACACAACATTATAAGCCTGCATGATACTGAAATCCTCGCATATTACATTTGGTTGTGGTGCCATTCTTTTAAAACAATATGTTGCCCTAGCCAGACACACTTTGGGCTAATTTCTGATGCTGAGATAGTTTCACTGACATGACGCCAGCTTTAGAGGAAGTCAGCTGAAGGTTAAATGAGCAGACTACTCTTCACTTCAGTGAGCAGCTTCATTCTGCAAGGAAATATAAAAAAAGGCATGTATAAGACTCCAAAAAGAGTCTAAACATAAACTGATCCTCATTTAATGATCTAATTCATAACATTCACTATCAGATGAAATGACAAAGCATACACAAGAGTATAAATCATTGTGTTTATTTAGTGTCTTAATAATTTAAGAGTGCTGAACAGTCGGGTTTGGTGCTCTTCTGGCGGACAGCGTGCGGTGCTGCACCATCGTGACCTTACAGTATCTGCTGTAGTGGTCTAAAGCCTGCCTCGCTCTTCATCTTTGGACACACAGATAAACTACAGATTATAATCATCCTGGTCTGCCTCTGCCGCCCCGTTCGATCCATCGACTGGGAGGCGTCAGTCTAAGGCACACATAGCTAAATAAGTAGAGGCAACAGTCCTGTGTGGCCTCTTGGACAGAAAATAGCATCAGTTTTACACCAACATCTATGGAGACCGCAGCCTCTACATGCTACATGTACTATCAGCAAAGACTAAGGCCGACTAGGTGTAAGATTCATACCCACATTGAATCTAGGCTACACAGACCACAGACAGCTGTGCTCTGAAGCTGGTTATACTCTCATTATCCAGTCTGTGTACCGATCCCACGGGCAGCGACAGAGGTTAATCTGTTATAGTCCCTCTGTGGCAGTCGCCTGCAATGAGATGAGGCTAAGTGTGTCTGTTCTGGTCCTGTTGGTGATTTGGGCTACCGTGCTGTAGATCCCTGTTGTTCCCCTTTGTGGACTCGCAGAATGGCGTTACACACAAACTGGAACTGACACTGAAACACACAACAAACAAAGCGTTACTAGCTGTTACACAAGTGTTTTTGAAAGGGTAGAACTGATTAGATTTAACATTTTCCTCGTCATTAAATTCCATAAAAAGAACAAGATCAACAATGGACTGATCCTACTAACAAGTGTTGTCTGTGAAAGCTTATTTTTCTGTGTCATAGAGCTTAACTGTTGTGCAAAATCTATTAAAACACATCAACGAGCCAGCACTAACACACTTAATACGGATTAATGCATGAGTGACAATAGTCCCCAAAAATATACTTTTTACTGCAGTTTGAGAAGCATTTTCTAAAACCTTTTTTTTTGTTATCAACACAGAGTCATGCAAGCTGCTCTGTGAGGCTGTACTTTGGCCCAGCTGTGCTTTGAGCTAAATGCTAACGTCGGCATGCTAACATTCTGGTATTTAGCAGGTATAACGTTTACAATCCTCAACATCTTCGTTTAAAATGTTAGCAGTTGCTAATTAGCACTACGCACAGAGCACAGCTGAGGTTGATGGGAATGTCTTTCATTTTGCAGATACTCTAAACCAAAATATTGAAAAAATTAAATATTTGACCCGATGATGGCGTTATATATAAAAGTCAGCGGATCACCAGAGTAATTACAATTCCTCCTGACGACATAAATGCATGTGCCAAATTTCACGGTAGTCCATCCAACAGTTGTTCCAACATTTCACTCAAAATTTTAAAAAGTCAGCAGGACTGGTTACCTTGAAATTGTGACCATCTTTACAAAATTTCATGGGAAATCAAACAGTTGTGGCAGAGCGTAAGAAAGAAAGACTGCTTAAGAAAGATGGAAAGGTTTGTCCTCTGACTGTGCATGTTTTCCATTACTGTCAGGGACACAAACATATGAGGGAAACCTGAGGAAAAGTTCCATCAGCACAAATACATCCGAGAGAAGTAGCCTCGGGGACTGGATCGTTTTTCAAAATAAGGGTTATAGTGGTGGCAGCAGTGGCCTTGAAACAGGCTGGTGACTGGAGGGCTGCCATATTCCCAGCACTACCTCCCATCAAAGCAATGAGTAACACTTTCCCATCCATTAAACCAAATTCCGGACATTTAAAACTAATTGTGTGTGCCTAATGAAATATGAAAACCAAAATGTTGTCTTTTAAATAAATACATGCATTTGAGCAGATTTAATTGAGCCAAAGAGAAAGCATGTGGCTAAGATGTTAACTGAGCATTTTAAAGAGCTCTTCTCAGCAAATGATATTGATATTCTCTGTGGTTATGTCCCATCTTCTGTCAAGCCAGATATTCCTATAAAACAAACTAAAAAGTGCAAGTTTAACGAGTCTTAGACCACATGTAGAAGACAAACCAGCTGGGCCTTATGATGATTAAAAGCTTGTAATCGGCTGAGATATTTAGAAACTACAGATAATGAATATTAAGGACAGCTTCAACTTCTCTCAAGCGACAGGTGACCCTGATAAAGAATCTAATAAAGGAGAGAACAATCGCTGTGGCAGAAATCCTTGCTCTGTTTCTCCGTACCGTGGTCTGAATCATCATGGCTCGCTGATCTCTCAATGTTTTGACAATGTCCAGCAGGAACACCGGCCGACCCTCATCCAACAAAGTCAGAGCCGTTTCCATTGTGATCAGAACACCTGTCCGTCCAATCCCAGCACTGAAATTACAAACAAACAAAGCATGAAGTGTATAGTAGAGACAGGTACAGCACATACGTGTGTGTGAGAGTGTGTGCGTGTGTTACCTGCAGTGTACCAGTAGTGGCTCTTCACCTCTCCTCCTCTCCCTGACCGAGCTGATGAACAGCAGGAAGTCTGAGGGGTCATCTGGTACGCCGTGGTCGGGCCACGCGACATACTGCAGGTGTGTGACTGCACGTTCCTCACCCCGCTGACACACACACAGACGAAAAATAAAGGTGCATAATCAGAGATATGTAACCTTTGGGAAATACATCCCCCACATGAGACTAACTCTGCAGCGCTACAGGCTTAAACATTCTGACAATATTCAGCACATGAGAAAGCAAAAGGTTGTAGCGGGAGCAACACGTGACCAGTAGGTGACACACAGAAAGATGAAGACAGGTGGCGAGGAGAATGGCTGAGTTTAGAGTTTATAATAGTCATGTGGCCTGTGACTCCATGCAGGGATTAACTCGCTCCGCCAGAGGAACAGATGGGCTCACACAGCAGTATCTGTGTGTGCATGTGTGTGACTTCATGCCTCCTTGAGCATTATCTGTTTATTTACCTGTTTGCCCCAGAAGTCAATGTGGAAAACAGCTAATTTGATCAGATTATCTACCATATTAAGTGTTTTAAACTCATTTGGATAAACCTCTCAGAAAGACCTGCCCACCTACCTAATACACACTAACACGCACAGGCCCACCCACACACACACACACACACACACAGACACAGACCGTGCCACCCATACGGAGGTGACTGTATGTTTGGCTGTGGATAGTTTGCTGCCCGTGGTGAACTCTGTTTTGTGACATATGGCACAAACATGCTACATGTCACTGCAAACATACAAATAGAAAAGCTCCGTGTTGTGTGACCATGCTTTGCTCAGGTTTCACGTGGATATGGAAGCAGGTGTGAACTTCAGGGCAGCTAGGGTTGCAACTAATTATTTTCACAATTGTGTTTTTGTTTTCTCGCTTAATTGTTTGGCCGATGTGACATCAGAAAACAGTTAAAAGGTGCAGCGTGTAGGATCTGGATGAAACCTTTTGAAACATATTTATTAATACTATATTCCATTTCTGCCAATAGCTCCCTCAAAATCCTACACACGCTTAATAAAAAAAAAAAAAAGCCGGTCATAATGTTATAATGATGAAGACATTTGGTCTTGTTTTGTCTGACCAAATGTCCAAAACCCCAAAATATTGAATTTACTATGATGTTAAGCAGCACATTTTCACATTTGAGAAGATTAAACAAGTGATCAATTCTCTGTTGATCGACGAGTCCTTTGCTACTGTACCTGTGTGTGTGTCAGAGTGAACTGCCGCGTCACATACGCCAGGTTACACTCCTCAGAGTGACACTTCACCCGCATGTGCCCGTAATCCTTCGCTTCTGGCGGATGCGGCCAGTACTGGTGGCACTTGGTCTGCAAGTGTATGACATCACCGACAGATTACATTACATGTGACATGAGTCATCAGTCATGATACGGTGTACGACTGCTGCTGCATCCGCTCTCATGAAATCAAAACTCATATTCAACAACATCGTATGTTCAACCCGGCAGGCTGAGGAACAAAAGCAATTCATCAGGAGCAGGATGTGAACCGATTGTCAATTTGTGTGTGTGTGTGTGTGTGTGTGTGTGTGTGTGTGTGTGTGTGTGT